TCTGTATTATTGCAGCTATGTTACATGTCTCTATGCCCTGTATCTCTCTGGCGATCACTGTGTTCTATTTTGACGTAGAGAGAGAATATTACATCTACCCTTAACATATTTAGTGTTATTTGATTTAAGCCACTCCAAGCATGGGATCTCATGGGAAGCCAATGTCATTATCTCTTCAGGATCTGTTCTTCCTCTTTTCCATTTGTCAGGGGATCAAAGTGTTTTGAAATGCTCACCCAAATCATTGTGTCAGCTCTCCTCTATTATAACAGATACCTGAGAAAACAGGCTTATTCTGGTTCACAGTTTTGGGAGTTCAGGTAAATGACTGATTGGTCTCACAGCTTTTGATCCTGTGGCCATGCATATCTTGATAGGGGCATATTGCAGAACAAAATTATTCACCTTGTGGCCAGAATGTGTGTGTGTGTGTGTGTGTGTGTGTGTGTGTGTGTGTGTGTGTGTGTGAGAGAGAGAGAGAGAGAGAGAGAGAGACAGAGACAGAGAGACAGAGAGAGACAGACAGACAGACGAGAATGAGATGCCATAGTCACCTTTGGAACATGGTTGTAATGATGTGAAGAACTCTAGGCCAAACCTCTGAGAAGTTCCTGTCAGGATTCCTATTCTGGGAATGACACCTTTAACACATGAGCATTTGGGGGGGCGGTCACTTAAGATTCAAACTTAGCACTTAGTTAAAAACATCCAAAGGACAGGGTAAACTACCAGACCCCTGCAGAGCAGAGCAGAGGCTGTTTGCCTTCGTTTCTGCACATTAGAGTTCCTGAGACAGAATATACCAAGTGGATTCAGTTGGAGAAGTGTTTGGACTCTCTTTTCAAGTTGACAGAATCCCACTATTACTACCCTCTGAATAATGTGTGAGTTCATTGAGCTGTGCTCCCCATTCACTCAGTGTTTTGTTGACCGTAAAGATACCAAAAAAGGCTCTTGTTTGGTTGCTATCCAAGGACACTATACCTCTGACAATTTTATAGCACACCAGACTTACACCTCTTGTCATAGATGGGGAAGAGGTATCCAGAGATGTCTGGTTCAGGATTTGAATACAGTTCAGAGGTGGAGTACTTACCTAGCACATGTGAGTCTGTGTGCTCCTTCTCCATCACCTCTGAGATATCTTATTCATAGACAAGCTGTAGGCTATCTAGATGATAGTTTTCTACATACTTAGAATCTTGTTCTTAAAGATCTGCTGAAGATTCAAGCTGTGAAACATACTTGAGACATACCTTCTAGCCAGCTTTAAAAATGAGCTGGCTTTTTGGAGCCCATTACCTATGGTGGGACACCTCACACAGCCTTTATGCAGGGGGGAGAGGCTTGGACCTGCCTCAACTGAATATACCAGGCTTGATGACTCCCCATGGGAGGCCTTACCTTTTTGGAGGAGGGGATGAAGGCGGGTTGGGGGAAAGGCTTGGAGGGAACAGGAGAAGGTAAGAAAGGGGGAAGCTGTTGGTAGGTAATAAAAATTTTTCTTAATAAAGAAAAAAATAAAAAAGTTCAGATGTTGTTTATCTATATTCTGTGTTTCCTCAAAGAGCATTGCTCTTCTAGAAGTCCTTTCTTTCATTTATTGACCTGGGAATGTAACGTAATTGTAAAGATCTGTGTTGTCTTGAAGTTGCTTTGCAGCAATCTTGACTCAATAATTTCTGATCATTTTTTTACATCTTTACTCAAATATCGTCTACTTTACTGGAAAGAAAAAACAAAGATTTTTTAGCATCAATATTTCATAACTGTTATTTTCTGCTAAAATATAAAGTATTTCTAGATATTTATTTTTGTACATGTATGTTGTGTATATATGTGTTTGTGTGTGGGCGTGTATTCCCGACATGGCACCAGTGTGGAGGTCAGAGGACAACCTCTGGTATCCTTCTACTTGGTGTGAGGCAGGGTTTCCCTCATTGACAACTCTGCCCAGGCTAGCCAGCCTGCAAGCTTCAGAAAGATTCTATTGTCTGCCTCCATCTCATCATCTCATCATAGGACTGCTGTGATTATAGACATCCACCACTGTGTGCAGCTTTGACATGAGCAACTGGGACCTAAACTTAGGTTGTCAGGCCCATGCAACAAGTGTGTTTACCTACTGAGCCATCTCCCCAGCCCCATAAAATATTTTTTCATCATAGCTCTTTTTTTGTGAACAGTAGCTATTCAGGTCACTCAAGTCATAAGCGAGCTTGTAAAATGGCAGCTGTACAGCTGCTTTCTCGGCAGTCACTCTCTCTTCCTAGTAGAGAACTCGTTCAGTCACTGTTTCATCCTAACATCCTGAGCCAGATTCCCTTTGAGCATCTCCTTCCACTGAGAGGTATTTCCTTTTGTGGCTCTACCTCAGATCTTATGAACCTGGAGTCCATTCAACATCGCTTTCCTAATGACCATTCAGATATCATTATTTTTATTTCACCAAAAGAGTCTTTATTTTCATGAGTCAGATTCAGAGCTGGGATTTCCTCTAGCTAGTACATCTATTCCTTGGGAGTTGAAATTGTCAGTGTATTAAGACAAAAGGCAATAATTCTTTTAGCTGAATAAAAACTTCAACAAATGTCTGAATATTTGAAGTCCTAACATAACTTCTTGGTTTTATCTCATCCCACCAATTTCTTTCCACTGCTTGTTGTGAAAACTTTCCCATCCTATGCTACATTCTCAAGCTTATTTCCTCTTTAATCCACATTCTATGTCGGCATGTAAAGTGCTTGTAACTGGGACACTGTGAACATCATAATCCACGCCTCAATTATTATTTCTGTTGAAAAGGCTTGGTACCAAACTCTGCCATTGTTGCTTCTATACACAGGTAAAGGTTGTCTCCGTGAAAATAAGCAAGGACCTTGTGCTAGACAGTTTTACATCAGCTTGACGACACAGGCTAGTGTCATTGGCGAGGAGGAGCCTCAACTAAGAGACTGCCTTCACTGGGCTGTAGGCAAGCCTGCAGGAAATTTTCTTCATTGGTGATTGCTGTGAGAGGACTCAGTTCACTCAGTCAGGCCACCCCTGGGCTGGTGGCCCTGGCTGCTATAAGAAAGTAGGCTGAGAAATAAGGCTGCTACTTTCTCTCTTTCTTCCCTTCCTTAAGGAAGGTTAAGTATTTCCATCTCTCCATCATCAGAAGCCACACCTTTCAGGTGTGTGTCTGCGGTGGGCCAGCACCTCTTTTTTTCTCCTGCTTCTACACTCTTACTTCTGTATAATCTGACTGTATTTTACCTTCCTAATTTTATTTATTTACTTTTGTGAGCATGGGATGTGTCATTTTCTAGACTATCTGGAGTTACGTGTTGGGAGATAATTCAACCTAGTGTATATTTTTAGCTCAGTAGAATCGCTCCATTTTAGCCTTCCTTTTATATTTTATTTATTCTTTGTATAATTGGATCAAGTTTTGCCCCTCTCCATTTGTGAGTCGTCATCTTGCACTTTTAAATTTTCCATTAACAATCACATTTTATAGAGATTATTTATACTCAGATATTTTCTGTGAGACCAAAATATTCTTCCCAAGCCCTTTAATATTCCCAAGTAGGTAGACAGCATCCAAAAAACCCGTCTCTTGTACTTGTTTTTGACCAGAAGACAAGTAACTTTTTCATGGCCTCTCATTGGACCAGTAGGTCCTACAGACTGGTTCACATTGAGATATCAAGATATCCGGTATTTATTCACTTCCTTCCTTTATTGTCTTCTGGAATCTCAGTTAAGAGCACAACTTCAGCGCCGAACAGTTCTGCAAACCTCTGTGACTTGTCAGGAAAGTGAGAGCAATGATGGTTATTGCTGAAAAGAACTGCTATAAAGATCAAGGAAGGCAAGGTATAGTGCGTGTGGACGGCACCACGCTGTGCCGTCAGCAAGTGCTGAGCAGCCACTGTGTGACTCGAAGCCACTTTTGCTCGGTTCTAAGCTTTTGAACTTGGAACCCACATCTCACACTTTATTAAGTAACTAAGGCTTCCGATTTCATTGTCCTTTTGTATATCGCACATTTCACGGTGAGAACTCCAGAACAAGAAACACTGAAACTAAGATGACTACCCTTGATTTGTGCTTCTTCATTTACATTTATTTCCTTCAGATTCATGGGTTTATACTTACATTGTTTTCATTCTATTTCTTTACCTATTTTTTTTCCTCAAAATCATTCACAAAACTTCTTTGTGTTCTATTTTATTGGGTGGAGGTCAAATTTGAAATTCCCCAGCATTTTACACCCTAAACTGTATTACAGCAGAAGTGGAGGGGGAATCTCAGGGCCTTACATGTGTTCTGCAAAGGCCCTACCACTGAGCTACCTTCCAGACATTCTTGAATTTTTTTGTCAGATAAGTTCTCACTAAGTTGCCCAGGCTAGCCTGAATTTACTTTGTATCCTAAACTGGCCTTGAACTTGTGATCAACAGTTCTGCCTCAGTCTCCTGAATAGCTGGGATTATAGACCTGGCTTCCTCCTGCGATTTCCTTGTTATATGCCAAGCTCTGTACTAGGAGTCTGAATATGCTTAGCTATGATCTCCTTGTTTTAGACTGAATCAAAAATAGCACGGAGAATTCAAGTGAGCAGCTCAAGATGATGTGAGTAGAAAGAAGCATGTGCAAAAGAGGCAAGGTTAGACCTAAACCAGTGCAGAGGAGGAGCTTTGGGGGATAGGACCATAGGAGCAAACAGTATAAAAGAGGAGAGACAGAGAGACAGACAGACAGACAAAGACAGAGAAAGAGACAGACAGACAAAGACAGAGAGACAGAGAGCACTTTGATTTTCTTTAAATAGGACAGTCAGGAGAGCTTTGTGAAAGAGATCAAATTTAATCTACAAGACAGGCCAATGAAGATGACCAAACTGGAGAGAGTATTTTCTTTTGTTCCATCATTATCATTATTTGGGTTTCTAATTCCATAAATACAAAAACAAATTTCTACTGATTAAAACAGAATGGTAAATGTGGACCCACTACAGTTTTTAAAGTGTTTTATTGGATGCTATGTTGTGTATACCCAGAAGTTTTTAACATCTGGAGAATGGATCCAAGGCAAGAAGTTCCATTTCCAGTATTTCAAGGACAGTGCATATGTCTTTTCCTCAAGCTTAGTCACATGGCTCATAATGGACTAATAATCTATGAAATGCGTAGTAAATTTCCTGATTGTGGGTACAGATGAATCCTCCACTTCTGAAGGCTTGGCGTGGGTCCCGGTTTAGGTCTCCAATACAGGTCCAGCGATATTTGGAGCCCTGGGTGGAAACACACCATTTGGAATGGTCATGGTAAGAACTGAAGTAAGGTCGGTGATACAGCTTAATGGCCTTGATGTTGTAGACATGGTAAGGAAGGGAACAGTTTGAAGGAAGCGCGTGTCCCTTTCGCTGCCAGGTTTCTGCTAGCAAATCTGTCTTCAACTGTTGAGCCATCCAGGCTGTAAAGATGTCTAGGGGCCAGGAGGAGAGAAACAGTGAATGAGATCACCAGATAATCCCTGAAAAGTCCCTAGGGAGTAGAAGCCTCCATTTATTCTTGCTCTATACATTTGACAAATGTAATAGCATGACCACATTATAACATAGTGGATGAGAAAGTATTTTCTAAATCCTAAAGCAATGTTCAAACAAAAGTTATTATAAAGTTATTGTAAAGATGTTGGAGTCTGCATATGCCTTCTCTCTCACACAAAGAAAGCAATATACAAATGTTTTAGCCATAAAAAGACTTCTAGAAATAATAAGATGGAGAATTAGAGGCAATTTCAAGGATTTTTGTAAGCCATACTACTATGACTGAATTTTTTAAGTCAGTGAGAGAATTTTTATAAAAATGTTAGTGTAGAGAAACTAATGTATGGTCATAAATGTCAATTTGAGAGGTACCGTCCAGGATGAACTTGGAAGGGTGGATTTCAGAAGATGTAGGAAACATCAGCTTTTCACAACAGCTGTGGCAAAAACACCTGTGTGGACCATGATGACAAGACAGTTGGAGAGGATATGATAAAATTGAAAGCTATTAAGGACCTGAAACTGGATGGATTTGGTGGCTTGTTGGAAGAACGGGAAAGAAGGAATCTGGAATGTCCTGGAAACTGTGTAGAATGTGAAGGAAAGAGTGGGTATGTGGAGGATAATGGCATGACCAATCCGGCACATTGTACTTGGTGTACCTCTACCAACTCCTGGTGGAAATAACCCATTCACCGTTGAGTACATCTGTTAGTGTAGAAGTCAGGGGCAGAAATCCCAGCCTTGGAAATCATCCAAAGTCTTTCTGGAACTATGTTACATGGTACATAGAGTGATATAAGGAAGGATAGAAAACCATATAGCAATCTCATCTCCTAAGGAGGCAGGTCTGGCACAAGGGACTTCAATACACCAGAAGGAACACCAAGAGGCTATGATCCCAAAATCAGTGAAGGAGAGTGTTTCAGGAGGGGAAAGTTTTCATCAGCACCATGGCTGACAATGACTTTTCCTGTCCCTTTAGTTTCTGTACGTCCAGAGTCTGACACAGGCTGTAGGTATTCAGTAAATTCCTTGTAATGTATAAAAGAAGCAAGAGAGCAAAAAGCATGGTGGACCACTAAGTTATGTAAGCATTCATGGCTGGGGGAGAGTGTTATAGACAAGCAAGACTCAAAGGGAAGAGAATCAAGGTGCTGAAGGCTCTGAGGTTGTTCCAAAAGAAATTTGGGTGGAAAAAGGGAAACCAGAGAGATGGGCAGTTTAGACTTGAGGGATGGTTTTTAAATAAGCCTGTGTGATACAAAGAAAGAGCCCATGAGGGCGGTAGGTTTGAAAGACAGAACAGATACAGAAGAAAAAAATAGCAAGGTATTCTGAGGCTAGAGTGGGTTGCAGAGAGAGTTAGGGGCTGCTGGAATGTACACAACCCCAGGTACAAAAGCATAAAGACAGCTAAGAGGGGGTATGGAACTTAAGTGACTGCTCCCTCCTGTTCTTCGTTCTCACCAGGGGAGAGGGAAGGGCTGTATAAAGAAAGGGCTTGAGAACACGGAGGGCTTGGAGCAACTGTCTGGCAGATGCTGGAAACAGCTGTGGCTCTCTGCCCAGCCGAGACTAACTGAGTTTCTAGAGCCCCAGCTCTGTGTGTTTGAGGTGCTTCTGTGGTTGAACCGGCAACTGCTACCATTCATACAGAACAAGGAAACACACGAGCTGATGCCGGAAGTCTCTCTTCCTTTTTCTTCTAGCTTCCCGACTCCTCTCCCCTTCTCTGTCCTGAATAACCAGAGTGTGTTCTCTAAGCAATCCACACGATTCCTACTAACTAACATGGTGATAGCTTCTCATACCATCAGTATAAGAATTGGATTTCACAAAATGGAAGAAGTTCTGTCCCTGGGCTGACTGAAGCACGGTGAGGTGCCGGCCACGGATCTTTAAGGAGCTGGACTTGGCACACAGCTGGGGCATGTGGATGAGTTCCTGGTGGAAGGTGTTTGGGATGGAGCAGCTGTAGATGTTTGGTTGGGAGATCAAGAGCTGAGAGTCTAAATCAAGAGACAAGGAAAAGTCGAGAACTTAAGCACGAATGGAAATACTTACCGATGTTCTGGATTTTTGTGTCGATTAAAATACAGAAACAAAAAAATTCCCCAAGTGTGGGCACTCCTCCTCACCTGTTTAGAGCAACAGTCTTCAAATGAAGCCTTGTGGTTAAACTAATTAAAGCCTATTGAACAGTCCTACTTTCCATATATGTTTTATGGTTTTATATATTTTTAATCTTCTTGGGGGTGGGGTGTATAATGTTTGTATGTATCTACGATGTGTGTGCATATGTGCCTGTGCCCGCCATGGCACACATGTGGCAGTCAGAGGACAACCTCATGTCAGTTCTTGCGTTTTACCTCATTTAAGGTATGGTCTCTCTGCTGTTTGCCACCGCATACCCGAGGCTCTTTGGCCCATGAGCCTCTGGAGATTTTCCTGTCTTACTTCCGTTCTTGTGGTTGGAGTGTTGGGGTTACAGATGCACTGCCACTATGCTTGGTTTTATGTGAATTCTGGGGATTCAAACTCAAGTTCTGGCAATCTGTTTATCCAAACCCTCTTCCCAAACTGAGTTTTATATTTTCCTAATCTAATCATTAGGTAACTTCTAATTAACCTAATAATTATCTAACTTATCTGCTTATTCAGTAAATTCTGTTGTTATCACCATCCTCATTTTTGAGTTGAATTTACAGAGACTCTGTGCCATACACCTATAAAGCTTGTAGATGTGGAGTTAAAATTCATTCTTATATAACCCTGCCCTGGAGGCCACATGCTTTTTTCCCTATGTGTACATAAATAAAAGTAAAGAACTCTTAGTGCCAAACATTCATTTGAAGGAAAATCACCTCATTGTATGTCTCATCTCTGTAGAGTTCAGCACTCTAACATATGACTTCAACTAGTTAGATGAGGGACATGATGGTTGTTCTTGATTGTCAACTTGACTACAGCTGCAATCAATGAGACCCCAAGTGGATGTGTACACCTTGAGGGATTTTTTTTAATCAAATCATTTGAAGTGGGAACACCCACTTTTAATTTGGATCTTTTGAGGTTGGAAGATCTACCTTTAATCTGGGCCACACCTTCTGGTGGCAACCTATATGAAGAACATGAAAGAAGGAAGCTTTTGTTCTTTGCCTGCTTGCCTTTACTCTCAATGTCAAGTTCAACCTTTCACTGAAATTAGAGGTTACTTCTTTTGGGCTCAGGCATATAATGAAGATCAGCTGAGACATCAATCCTCGTGGTCTGAACAACTACTGGATTCTTAGATTTCCCATTGGTAGACAGCCAAAGTTGGACTAGCTATAAGTCACTCTACTAAATCTCATATAGATAGATATTCATTCTAACATTTCTGTTCCTCTAGAGTTTAGTCTAGAGTCTAGACCAGTGATTCTCAACCCTTGGATCTCAAATGACCCTTTCAGAGGGGTTGCATATCAGATATCCTGCATATCATATTTTGACATTATAATTCATAACAATAGAAAAATTACAGTTATGAAGTAGCAACAAAAATGATTTTGTGCCAGGTAGTGGTGGTGCATGCCTTTAATCCCAGCACTCAGGAGACAGAGCTAGGTGGATCCCTGGGAGTTTGAGGCCAGCCTGGTCTACAGAGTGAGATCCAGAACAGGCACCAAAACTACACAGAGAAACTCTGTCTCAAAAAACAAAACACAAAATAAAACAAAACAAAAGGTTTTATGCTTGGGGTCACCACAATATGAGGAACTGTATTAAAGGGTTGTAGTATTAGGAAGATTAAGACATTGGTCTAGACTAATACAGGGCTTATGGTGAAAATCGGGTGAGAAACATTTTCTAAGCTTCCTGTACCTGAAGGTGAAACACACTACATCTTTTCTTAATTCCACACAATATTTCGTCAAATAGAAGTATTTTGGGCTATTTGGGCATGAGATCTTAGAAGACATTATCTGCTGCTGAGGTGTGATGTTAGCAGTATGGAGGCAGCATTTGGTCTGAAGAATTAAAAAAAAACTAACATTGAGTCTATATTTAAAAAGAAAGGTTTGTCTCTTACATACATGTACATACACACGCAGGCACGGTTTCTAGTTCCTCATGTAAAGTACAGACATCTCTAATCAGTAGTCTTGTGTTTCTGTATATTTATGATGGCACTCAGGTCTCTGAAGGCATCCAAGGGAAAGTCGACACCCAAGTTTATCCTTGTCCCAAGTACTCATGTAGCATCTGTCTGCCTCATACATTTTTTGTTACTTACCGGGGCCCAAAATTAATTTGAAATTATTACCCCTGTTTGAGTTCAATAATGTCATTTACAGACTAGGAACTGAGGCTGGGAGGGACCCTGCCCAAGGTCTCACCACAGCAGACAGTAGGGGGGACTCTAGGAACCAGAAGGTCTATGAATAATCAACAGATGAAATAGCACACTTCCTCCTTCAGCACACTACCCCTTTACATACGCTCTGGTGTTACCTATGACTTCATACTGGCTGTATTTGAAAGTTATGCAGATGCCACTTTGTCCATATCGTCTCCCCGAGGATGGGTATTCATAGCCATCTTCTGGAAATGGAGGAAACCTAGGAACAGAATGAATCAGCCAGAACCCCTGGATTCTGTTCCATACTAGCAGACCTACCAAAGAAAGACACATGTGATTTGGAAAAGTTAGAAAACAGATCTCCTCTCAAAATACATTTCAAAACTACAATATTGAAGCCTACTTACACTTTAGGTTAGTGTTTTCTTAGGCTCTTGAGAACTACTGCTCATTTTTGAAGAATTTCAGTAACAACTCAGGTACATATCATGGTATCCCCTTACTGAAAAGGGGAGCCAGGGAAGACACTTTGTGAAGATGTAGGAATAATTCCATACTGAAACTAGTTGGGCAATTTTGCTGAACTGGAATTTGATCTCGTTAAACGTAAAGTCCCCTGGCAAGCTGGAGTCTTCACTGGTGAGTCTCTAAGTTGTCTTCAAAGAGCTGCTAAGAGCAGCTAAGAGACAATAGCAAACCGAGGAGGGTGTTGGCAGCACTTGGCTTTAAGAGGCAGCTGCTCATTTGTTGGAGAAGGCTCACCCAATTTCTACAGATCTGATTTAAAAGAGACAAAGAAAACGCAGGTGGGCATGCAAAAGCATCCTTGTTGAGCATGTTTTTAAAAGTCTCAAGAGCCTACTAAAATGAAAGCCACAAAGGCAGGTTGTGACATGGCAGAAAGGCCCTTGTCCAAAACACTTGCCATGTTTATAAACATGTGGTGGGCTAACCAGAGCTTCCAGGCCACATAAGAACATGCCAGCAAAGGCATTCAGATGCCTGCTGACTTGCTTTTGCAAAGAGTGCCCCTTGAGAAGAAAGTATACCGTGGTGGAAACTGTTGGAGGTTCTGTTGCCTAACAGGTCTCATGACCTTGGTATCAGCCTCCTGGGTGTTAGCGTGCCTGTGGGTCAAATGAAGCCCCAACTTCACATTAAACTCTCTTTTGTTTCCTCCAATCCTCGATGCAAACAACAGGTCAGAAAAGGAAGGCTCAGAGGCACTGGGGGTGAGGATGGAAAGCATGGCATCTTCCAAATGCCACTGGGTTCCATGGTAACAAGGCTATCATAAGGGCAGCAATGTGATCACAAGCTCTCAATGTCACAACGTTTGATGGGCATTACAGATGATTTATGTTTGGGGGGGTATAGGGAGCAGACAGAGCCTCACGTGGTAGCCCAGGCTGGCCTCATACTCTATCCCAGGCTGGCCCCGTACTCATGGCAGTGCTGCTGTCTCAGTCTCTTCAGTGCTGGAGTTACTGTGATTGTGACTGTGCCTGGAATTACACTATGTTCTTAATCAGACATTGAAAATTAGCTGCCCTAGGCCCAGACGCACCTCAGTGATATATTAGTTTTGCTGTATAGTATTAAACCTGAATTTATTTCCTGCCATCCATTAAATTTCAAAATATTTTCTAAAATACTAATTTTTATCATCTCCTGAATAATTGCATCCATAAAATTCAGGGTAATGGTGTCCTTGTTAGACATTGTAAGTACTCTCCAGTCTCCTGCTAGCTCAGCCCCATGTCACCTGCTGACCTTATGTGGCTTCCTCTGAAGATATTTGGGTTTGGAACATTCTGAAGAATACTTATTGCTGTAGAAGTTATTTGAGATATAGTAAGTTAAAAGGAGTTGGAAAAATAATAATTATAATAGTTTTATAATCTACTGAATATTAGGATTACAAGTTTTTGTTTATCTACATTTAAACTTTTTTTATGACACATATACTTATGCATAGTTTGTAAGTGGAAAATAACAAAGATTACTATGTTAAGAATTCCTGTATCCCAGCACTCAGGAGGCAGAGGCAGGAGGATCTCTGTGAGTTTGAGGCCAGCCTGGACTACCAAGTGAGTTCCAGGAAAGGCGCAAAGCTACACAGAGAAACCCTATCTCGAAAAGCCAAAAACAAAACAAAACAACTTTAAGGATTTTTTAAATGTTTAAATGGAGTTACACATTAAATAGAGTGAATTTTATTCAATGCAAATTACAACTCAGTAAACTTCCATAAGCTGGGTATAAGCCTGTAATCCTAGCAACATGGGACAGTCAGACAAAAAGATCAGAAGTTCAAGGCTAGCTTGAGCAACTTGGGGAGATCCTATCAATGCTCTGGGTGTATAACTCAGTGATAGATTGATTGGCCTGCAAAAATGAAACAAATAAAAAACCAACAAAACCTAACTAAAAAGTGTGTATATGCACATGTCTTTCTCTTTCTCTCACATACATATACACATACAATGTATCCTTGCTGGTGTGTGTATGTCCATGTATATATACATATGGATATATATATACACACACATATACATATATGTGACTGTATGTATATAAGTATGTATGTATGTATAACTGGTATTTGAACAACCAGTAATTGAGTGCTTACTTTAAAGTTCGTTTTTTTTAATTTTAAGAAATAAATTGGGATTTCTGAAAAGGGATTTGACATGTCAAGCCATATAATTATTTTGTAAAGTGTTATATAGCAATCATATCTCAGTAAGTCAGGATAAGCCATAAAAACGAAAGCTGTCTTTTTAATGTGGAATACGAGGATACTAAAGATGAAAGTCTTAAGAAAATGTTGATTCCCAACAGGCAAGAGAAGCCAAGAACCACTTACTTACCTTTGGTGTGTCCGTACTTTCTGCTGTAGTTCGTAGACTTGGGGACACCATCATTGTACATCAGATAGGCTGTTTCATTGCTCTGCAGGAACACATAGAGTTATAATGGCACAACAACTATTCTCACTATTTCTATCAGCTACCCAGCCTACAGCACAAAGCTTTCATTAATACATTTGAGAAATCACCCACAGGAACATGAATTCTGTGATACGCAAGATGGAGGGGGAGAAGTCCATTTTCACTCATACAGGTTTTGTGTGTATATGTGTGCATGCATAGTGTGTGTGTGTGTGTGTGTGTGCGCGTGTGCGTGTGCGTGTGCGTGCGCGCGCACTAAAGAACAACCTTGAGCATTTTTTCCTGGCCTAGAACTAGCCAACTAGAGTAGGTTGACTGGTTAGCAAACCTCAGGGAGCCACCTGACTCCACAGCCTCTGCTCTGGGATTACAGGCATGTGCCACCACCTAGCTTTTTTAGCCTCATGTGACAGGAGTCCCATGTGATCTGTGTGTGAAGATGACACTTACATTTTTCTTGGTTGTTTTGGAAGCAGGCATCTGATTGAGCAAGCAGCAAGTATGATAAAGGAGTGTGGAATTGTTTGTTCAGGAAATGAAGTTGGAACAACCTGAGATTACACCTGGGTTTTTTCCACTGATGTTACAGGCGCAGTGTGGAGCGGGCTGTGGGGATCTCATTTCCTCTGCCTGTGTCGTGCCTCCCTGCCTTCACATCTTTGTATTTAATCAGGACTCTTCGTCACCTGCTCCCCTTCCTCTCTCGTATGAGAGTTGTTTTCCCCCAAACCATTTCTCAGTGCCACGTTGACATTTTTCTCCTTAGAGAAAGTGGTGAAATTTAATGTGTGATATTGGATTTCTTCTAGTGAGATTCTCCAAAGAGGTTGCTCACCTTCTGAGTCAGAGGCAAGCTGTTGTTTTGGTGGTGTCTCTTTGTCATGTTTTGGGAACTTCTTACGTTTGTTCTGGAGGTTCCATTCCATCTGTGTCATGATACAGTGACTTTGATCGAAACCAATCATGTTGATATTGAAAAAAAATTCAGTGACATAGTAAAAGCAATGAGAGCGACTCATTTCCTTAAAAAAAAAAATCCCTTTTCTTTCCTCAGGTAGAAAAGTCAATAATGGGTCTCTTGAAGTTACTTATTTGAGGTAATTCAAAAGCACTTAAAAATGTGTAGTAGCATAGTTTTGATTACTCTGTTTTGGCATTCCAGGAAAGTAAGCTGTTTACTTAGCCTTGGTTTTTTTGTTTGTTTGTTTGTTTGCTTGCTTGCTTTTTGTATAATCAACCACAGCAGCTACAGAATGGTAATGCATCATCCTTCTCCTGGGAACTGACAGTTACTCTGAGCTGGCATTGGCTGTGGTAACAAGGCCATATGTATGCCTTCCAGGTGCCACATGGATGATCTATTGAGGGTATTTGCTCTTATAATAGATGATATTTATTATTACAGCCTGGAGTGTAACAGACAGCTCTGTCTAAATTGGTTACAGCCTTGGTGGGAAGAGTTGCTACTGAAGAGTGGAAAAGATCATAGAACAGGCAGGATAGACCTGGTGGCACATACCTGCAATTACATCATTGAGGAGGAGAAGGCAGGTGGATCGTGAGTTCAAGACTAGCTGACTAGCCTAGGCTACAGGGAGGCCCTTTCTCTTAGAATGTGTGTGCGTCTATGTGAGTGCCTCTGACTGAGCGGGTATGTGTGAAGGCTGGAAGTTGATTTAGGAGGCTCTTCCACTACTTCTCCATCTTACTTTGATTCTCCCACTGCTCCTGGAGGTCACAGGTTCAGCTAAGCTGGCTGTCATCAAACTCTAGAGATCTGCTCGCCTCTACCCCGTGCTGATGTTGCCGGCATTCGCCACACTTGCCTTTGAGGGCTATCTCCATCTCCCAGGCTCCAGCTCTGTTCCTTTAACCCATATGTTAAGTGCTGTCTTGATTATTGGATGCTGGACTAAGGGGATTACTCTCTGACCCTAGTCTAGCTGGAGATATAGTTAGAGAAGGGTAAGCCACTGCAGTGTAGTTTGATTATTAAGGAATCTGAAGGGTTCTTATTTGCAAAAGTAAAAGAATAGGAACAACTCCAAATGTACCCAGGCTGTTGGACTCAATCCCCTTGACACTGGTGATACTCAATTAGCTGTCTGATCTTGCCTCCCACTATCAGAAGGTCAATACCAGGTCAAAGGGTAGAGAAGACAGTTCCCAGTCACTGTGGGCAGATGGTTCTGTCTTCCAAAGAACATCCAGTCACACCTACGTGCCGTTTGCTCTGTTGCTTTCTAATTTTGAGCCAATCAGATATGGAAACCTGACATCAGCCCCTTTCCTGACATTTCCTCTCTAGAACCAAGCACTCAAAGCACTGTACGTGTGTGGGTTTTACTCAAACATCGTATGCTTTTCCATCATCTGTATGCTCTATCCTAGCGTCCCTTTCACTTCTCACACACTCTTTAATTCCTTACTTCCTTCAGTTTTAGGGTGAGGGTGGGCAAGATTTTAGTCTGTAACCCAGACGAGCCTGGAGGTCACTTGTATATCCCAGGTGGGCCTTGAACTCATGCTGATCCTCCTGCCTCAGTGATCCTCCTGAGTGTTAGGATTACAGGTGTGAATCACACCTGACCCTTCTTCCTGTTTCTGTTCTGCTAAGCAGGTGTAGTGCCTTCTCTCTCCGAGGCACTGGCTGCCTTTCATGCCCCAAGGTCATTAATGGAATCTGCCAACCGAAAAATCAAATGGTCATCTACTCCAACTAAGGTGAATGGCAGTGGCCTGGCAATGTTATCTTTTCCTCTTCTCCGTTCCAGGAGTTCCTGGGATGGTTTATTTTCTCACTAATGGGTTCTTTTCCAGGTTCCCTCCACCTTGGGGAGCAGAAGCACTCAGTCAGTTTTCATTGTACACAATAGCCTGGTTATTCAAAACAAGCTTGTTATTGAGATTAAAGAACTCTGGAAAACACCCGAAACAGTGCTTGGCACATCACATGTGCTCAAACAGCCTACAGTCGTCTTAACTGTGTAATTTTGCTTCAAGGTTGCTTTTAATGGCTGGTGAATAAAACAAGCACCACCCCTGGCCCCCTCCCCCACAGTGAGAGCTCCTGAGTGAATGTTCAGGTAGACTTGTGCAGTAGTATTAGAAGCTAAAGCAGTCTTGTGGTGAGCATTAAATTAATTAACAGGTGAAAAGCCCAGCAAAGAACCTACCATAGTATAGAAACCGTTGTTTTAAACACGCCCATAAGTTATTGTCAGGGAATGCATTCACTGGGTGGGTCTACCATAATATAGAAACAGTCATTTTCAGCATGCCCACGAGCTCTTGTCAGGGAATGCATTCATGGAGCAGAACTGCGTGTTAGTTACCGCTTGGTTTTACTTGTCACTCGTGTCTGGAAAGAACTCACGGTAAACCAGATGGAACCTGGAACACTGCAGAGCTGGCCACCCTGAGGCAGCAGGCCTACTTATCTAATCCCTGTCTCTGGTCAGTTCATTTCCTGAAGTCCAGGTTGTAGGCTTCATCTCCACTCAGGTAAGCCAGTTCTGGGCTCCTGAAGCTAAAGCCTTAGCTGTCAGCCTACTGCTTTGAAAATAATTAATTAAAAGGAAGACCCAGAGGAACCTTTACGTGAATCACCAGCACTCATCAACACCGTGATTTAAACAACCTACAGCTCAAGGCACGATGCTCACAGACCTGCACTGCCCGGCAGTGGGAGAGGGCTCTCACCCCATTTCTATTAGGTGCATAAAAGAGTAAGCGCTGAGTGAGTTGGCAGAGATCTGGCAGCCTGAAGGCTTCAGTAAGCAATCATTTCACATCTTGCCCAGTGATACTGTTGCATTTGATGCCAAATTGTGAGATTTTTTTTTTAAATCAAAGGTAGTTAGCTTAACAAGAACTTATATTTCCTGACCCTTCCTGGTTCCCTTTGCACTGATTAACTAATTGCATCAGATTGTAAAGTTGAGTTCCCATCAATGAGATGAGACAAGGTTGCTGTCTAGTCAGGGATAAAAGATGGAAGCCATCTTGGCTAAGCACGCTGGCTAGCCCAGTTTGGGTCCAGCACACCCTTTTTGTTAAAAGAATTGCCTTGCCGGGCTGCTTTCGTTTGGTCTGTGTGTTCCTTCATATGTCATGGATTATTCTTTGTTTCTAAGAAAGTGAACCAACAACTTGGCATTGGTGTAGATTATGATGATGTATTTCTTAAGGCCTTGGTCAGGTTGATTTGGTTGTCCTGAGTGAGTTTATCTCAAGCTTCAAGGGTTAGGTGTGTTAAATATATATCTATAATATAACATATATTTAAATATATATATTCCAAAGATGCTCTTTGAGGAAGATTTAGATTTTGTTTACATACTTTTTATGATCTCCACGAATGATTGACTGTAACCTACCTTGGAGGTATACACTTTATATAGTTGCTCTAAGGTCCTTCCCAAAACACTCTTGCTGCTGTTCACCAGATACTGGCTCTTCCTCCAGCTTCTCATTGTCGAGTCCAGGTACAGGTACTCCAGCCCGGATGCTGCATCTTTACTGCCAGGCCTTTTGGGTAACTTATAAAAGATAAACCTAACACAGCAAATAGTTATGAATTGCTCTCACTTATTGATTGCTTTTCTGATGCCAGTCTATGCTAAACAAATATACCATTCACTGTGTTTCATAGGAGGCCTCTAAGCAACGGGAATACTCAAGGCTTCTGCCATTTCTCTATCTTTTCTTTCTTTCTTTCTTTTTTCTTTTTTTACTTTTCCCCCAGGAAGGAAAGTTTGGTGTGGGTAGTATGTGCTATGGCTTAGAGTCTAAGACATTAGCTGGCCTAGTGACTGGGGGCCCTGAAATGAAAGCTCATGTGTATTGAGAGTGATTCTCTCATTTGTCCCCATAGCCCCAGTGGTCACATGGGAGAGAAGGCCACGGTCTTGGATTTGCTCTTACCATAATGCTTAGCACCTGGTCTCTTTGGGGATAGTCAGTTGGGGTGGGCTTTGTCTGAGCTGGAGGCTTTCTTGCAGCTTGGTCCCGAGCAACTTTGTTCAGCTCAGTTTATCAGAATGTTCTGGATGGAGGATTTGCTCATCAGCTGTTTGAAGCGGCCTCCTCTTCTTGTGCCTGTGGTTACTCTGCTTGTTATTTTCTCTGCATATCTCACAGTGAGGACAAGTGGTTGGGCTTATGTAGCATTCAGCCAGCCTTAGGTCATGCCAAGAAAGCCTAGGCTTTCTCGTGTGCTCTAGTCTCATTGGGGTCAAGGTTATTTTTACTGAGCTGGCCTTTGTCCCATAGGACATCTGGCCTCACCCTTTTAGATGTCAATAGTATTCTGAAGCTGTGACCATCAAAACTATCTCTAGACCTTGTCAAAAGTCCTCCAAAAGTAAATTTGGTCTAATTTAAAAACTACTGGTCTAGCCAAATACACTATAGCAGCATAAAATCCTGGAATTAACCCCAAGAGACTCAGTGAGCCAAACACAGTACATACACCACCATAATGCAACAGTCTGCCCAAGAGCATCACACTGCTCACCTGGTCCTCTACAGATTTATGTTTCTGTCCAAGTGTCCTGCCTTGTTATCCACAGGTCCAAGTCCTCACATGTGGCAGGAAATATGCTGATTTTGTGACAGTTGAGCAATTCCTCTTCCTAGCAGCTATGCCTGTCTTTTTGACACATATTACTAAATAAACCCATTCAGTCACGGTGAAAAAAGAATTCTGTCAGTCACAATTTGTTATTCCTGCCCCCAGCAGAGTAACTGACTGCTACCATGCCATTGTCTCTAGGTGACAGTGGCACTTATAGTTATTTTTCCTGGGTAACCATCTCTGTATGCAGGTTCTAGCCTAGAACTCCAGGTTGGGTTAGATACCTAGAGAAAAGGAGGCCCAGAAGCTTCTAGCTCCACATTTTTGAAGCCAAGTTCATAGTATTTGCCCCAAACCTATTCATCCTATGCTGTTATTGAACATACGCTCTCAAAAGCCACCCAGCCCAGGTGCCCACCTACCTTCCATCTTCCCAGGCTATTCTAACCTCTGTTTCCACTACCAGCTCTTTCACTCTGGTCTGTACACACTGTGGTCTGTTTTGTCTGTCATACTGTGGAAGTCCTTTCACTCTGTCGTTCTAGACCGGTTCTCTCCCATTGTCTTTGCACTGTTGCCATGAAGATTGGGTCGTATCTCAACCTTGTTCCAAGTCCCTTTCAACATCAGGTTCACATCCCAAAGCACGGCCCTGGAAGCCCATCCTGCCCGGCCTACACCTGTCATTGCAGTTTCGTCTGCAGACACCTTGGCACATTCTCCTCATCTCAAGCAGCGTGACACACTCTGAGTGCCACACTTCCCATGCTGCCTCCCGACTCTGCACTGATTCTCTGCTCCTCTGTTGGCCTGAGCTGCCATGACGTCTCCCTATTATTTTTTAAACAACTTCATAATTATTCTTAAAACTTGGCCCAATGTTACTTCCTCAAAGAGGCCTTCAGGGCTGTGTGCTTCCTAATGTCCTATGTCCATCCCACAGAACTGAGCTCCCTTAAGGGTTGGAAATATGTTTTGTTTATATCTTTGTCTTTAAAACTCAGGGCAGGGCCTGGTCAGAGCTCATAGATGTTGAAAGACTGAATTGATTGATGCTCTTTATTTGAAGTTCTCTCAACAATGTCAACTGCCATAGCAGACCTAAACACCAGAGCTGAAGAGTGGAAAAGCGGCCAGATCTCCAAAGAGGATCTCACCACACTGACATAGGGTGGTTTGTCTCTGACACTGTGATAGAGACCAAGAACCTCCCAGTCACTCCTGCTCGATGCCTAGGCTGAATGAAGGTTAACTAAACAATGCTTGGCTCCATCAACTAGTTTCTCTTGTTCCCCTGGGGAGAAAGGTATGCCTCAGTTTTAGAAAAAGCCCTGTGCTTTCCTGGCTTTGTATGTCAGAAAAAGTACACACAACAAAAGGTAATTGCCAAGTGACAGCTGTCAGCTCGGTTGCACTCTGCCCCGCCCCCCAAGAGCACCCACTCAGGCTCCAGAGAGCTGTTTGGCACGTTCTCAGCGGCAACTCACCCACTCAGCAACTAGCTCTGCTTGGGAATCGAGCCCATTGGCACACTTCAAGTCTTCTTCTTTTTAATTAATTAATTTGTGTGTCTATTTATTAAAAACAAGATCTCATATAATTCAATCTGGCCTAGAACTCACTTTGTTGCTGAGGATGGCCTTGAACTTTTGATACTTCTGCTGGGATTACAGTGTGTCCTATCTTGCTTAGTTTATATGGCCCTGGGGACTGAGCCCAGAGCTTCATGCATGTGAGACAGGCACTCTGACAACCCAGCCATGTCCTCAGCCCCCGTCTCTGGCTTTTTAAAGGGAGGAAGCCAGGTGAAAGTTTTCCTTAGGCTCATCACAGACATACCCTGACTTTCAATTTGCACACACCAACCATCCCATTTCATTCACCTACCAGTCCACAGCTCCTCCGTCCTCCTTTTTGCAAGAGATTTCTGGTGTGCCCAGGACCCAAGAGAGGGCAAAGAAGAGCAAAGCCAGAGCTGTTCTTGGGGAGTTTGCTGCCATTTTCTGTCTGTGGCCGTGGATGGTGGAGTCAGTGTCAGGTCTTTCTCAGGCTGTGCTGGCTGGGATGTGGGTTCTATTCACATTTGCTGTCACTGTTGGGACATAAACAGAAGAGGCTGAGTCCCATGTCATCTGATGGTTCTGTCACAACATTCCAGTGTGACTCTGGATGCCTTTGTGCTCAATTGTTGACTAGCTTGCAAAGTCATAGAAAAGTCTGGAGGGAAAAGGGTATTTATCCTGCTAACCCATGTAGTTAACTCCTTGGAGTGGATGAAATAGTGTGAAGCGCACGGGAACAGAAATTCTTGACAAGTAGATGTCGAATGAAGTGTGTTCCGTGTTTCTTTTCCCTTCTCACTGAATATCTGGGAGTGTAAATGCATGTGATTCATACATTAAAAGTGACAAAACCCAGTGCCTTATTAATAATTAGGATCTGTCACCTATAATACTCTCTGTCTTAAGTGAGTAGTAATTTCTAAAACAGAATGCTGAAGGTCGCTCAAAACTAAGAGCAAATTCAATTGCATTTTAGCAAAAACTGTTGACGTCTCTTCCACACACCCCTAGCTCTGACCACTCAGCAAGGCGCTCTGCTTTAAAAAGGCCATGGTGTCTCCCTGTCTACTGTGCAATCAGGTCAATATTGACCGTCTACTCTTTGGGGATAAATAAAAAACTTTACCAACCTCTCTTCAGCTCACACCACTCCTTCTCATTCTTGAAACTGAGATCGGAGTTGAAGGCTGAGGGAAAATGGCCCATTACCATGGAGACTACGGCAAGGTGAGCTGCCCACCTTGAGAGAGGGAAAGAGTAGACAGATATACAAACATCCACAAAGAGTTTTTTGCATGCTTTGAATCCGTGTCTAGCTGTCAGGCTAAGTCCGGTTCACTTTATGCCTGGGAATCATGATGACTGTTCTGTCCCTCTCCTTGATTATGGATTCAGATCAGAGTCATCTTGGAGACCCAACCCAAGCAAGAGCCTGGGAGGTCAGGCCACTTCTATGGGTTAGCCAGCAGGTGTTCTTCAGGTCTTCGAGTTTGTAGGAAAGGGAGGGCTTGTGAGTCTATTTCTCCTAAGACAGAGGACTAAGGAGCTCTATGGACCCATTGACAAAACTCACATTATCGTGGTACTTGTAAAAGGGCAGAATTCTGGGCCTCATCTCAAACCTGCAGAATCAGAGTCTCTCCAGCTGGGTCAGGAATCTGTGGTGTGTGTACGCATATGAGTTTGTGTGTGGAGGTCAGAAGTCCATACTGGGTATTTACCTCAATCATTCTGTCTTAACTTTTTGAGGTAAGGTTTTTCAATGGGCTGGAACTCTCAGTGGGCTAGTCAGCAAGCCCCAGGAATCCTCACCAGTACTGGGATCACAGATGCTTGCCACCTTGGTCAGTTCTTTAAAATGTAGGTTCCGGAGGATGGAACTCAGATCCTTAAGTGGGAGCACTTAAGAACTGAGTCATTTCTCCCAGCTCCCAGAGCCTATATTTTAAATAAGCTTATTGTCAGTGCAGGTACATTCTAAAATTTAAAGCCAGTGCCCTGAGGTCTCGCTGATGGGACATCTGGAGATCGACAGCTTTCTACAAGGGAGCGGTCAGAATCAACTAAACCAAGAAACATTCTTCTTACCATTTCTGCATTTTGCTTTATAGGTTATAATTGTGTTCAGAAAAGGATTCCAATAGCTGCAAGCAATAAAAATATTCAAGGCATGGCATTTATTTCAAAAGAAAAAATTAGTATCATTTACCTCTTTTACTTTAAAACTTACACAATTGAGCACTCAAGTATAGGATTTGTTGAATCATTTGGAGGACATAAGCAAATCATTTTCATTTATGTGACCTAATAGCAGCTTTGTTGATTAGACTAGAGAATAATTCCTGCCTTTTTCTCCTTGTCATATACGTAGCATGATGGTGATGACATTTTAGTAAACGATCCTTAAGTTTTAGCCAAGCCTATTCTTACCTTCCTGTGAGTGGGCTGAAGGACACCTGTATTTGGGTGACATTTGCTAAATCCAATTTCATTTCAAGGTCTGGGAAGATGCTTTAATGAACTTTCTTTTCTGGTGTCACTGACTTACTGTGCTGGCTGGCTGTCAACAGCTGTCCTTATACAATCGCTTCAATCGCTTCGCGGTCAAACACTGTAACCAGCTGTTGGGGGTTTCCAGGGATTCCAGCTTGGCCCCAATTTCTAGACTCTGATATGTCCTTTTTTTTTCGTTTTCTTTTCTTTTTACTAAAACCAATAAAGTGGTAGTATGGAAAGAAATCTAGAAGCTGGGTGGATGAGGAAAATGCAAACAATACAGAAGGCTTCTCATGATACCACTCGATTTTGCAGCCACATTGTATAACAGCATGGAAATACCACACTCTTTCATGGTCTAAGGATCTGTCAAAACAGTAGAAATTGCTTTTTTTTTTAAGACTTGACCAAGTAGAGTAAACAGGGAAGAACTCATTGCTTGGAAATGGACTGACTTTGTGTTTGTTCACCCAGAAATTCTAGAAAACTGTAGTTCTGATGTTTCTGAAGAGAGCTTCTTTCTCATCCCGCCTTTCTCATGCCCTCCACATGTCTTGCATCTATCATGTATTCCAGCTCCTGTGTGTGTCTGCATTAGCACTTGATTACTCCTAGATATGTGTGTTTTTATTTTTAATTGTGTGTATTTGTATGTGCACATGGGTGCACTGCCTTCAGAGGACAGAGGCTTTGATCCCTTTGGAGCTGACGGTGACAGGTGGCAATGGCCAGCTAGGCATGGGTGCTGGCGAACGAATTCAGCTCCTCAGCAAAAGCTGCAAGAGCTCTTATCCATGGCGCCATTTTCCAGTGCCAGCACTTGATTCCTTATTTGGCTTTTTCCATTCTCTAGTTCCTTTTAGAGAATTAATCTGTTACTTATTCCGTCTCTCCAAAGTAACCAATTCTTTCTTGAACTGTGTTCAACAGATTCTTATCTGATTATTTAATTGCTAGAATCTTTCTTTTTCCCGTATGTCTGTGTGTAGTGTGCATGCATGCATGTAGACGTGTGTGTGTGTGTGTGTGTGTGTGTGTGTGTGTGTGTGTGTGTGTAAGTGGAGGAGGTCTGACTCCAGTCATCGTGCTTCTGTGAGAAGCACTTCACCTGTTTAATCATCTCCTTCAGCTCTCTAGTTTTATTTCTTCCAAATTAAGTTTTTAATATTTGCTTTACTTTCTCAATGTTCAACCATCTATTTCTGTCAAAACATTAAACTGTTATTTTGCACAATGCATCTAATTCTACTAGTACCCATATTTGCAGGTTAGACTTTGCTGTTGTGTCTGCCACTCGTTACCGATACCTTCCTATTGGTGTATACTTTTCGCTTTGGGCTGTAGTTTATTTTCCTTGCAAACTCATCTGTGAAAACACTGAAAGGATAAAGAGAAAGTTGGTGTTTTTCAGCCTCTGGCAGCTGCTGCCTCCATTGGTGGCAGTGCAGTCTTCTAGTCAAGCTGCTGGCTTATTTATGTTTGGAAGGATGACTTGCATTCCATAAGATGCATCTGTTTAAGGACAGCTTTCTCTCTGAGCAGATCTGAGAAATCTGCTGGTAGACTGAGAGGAATCTAGAATGTGACAGACTGAGGGGAAACTTGATGTCTTGTTGTGTGAGCAAAGGAGGGGGCTTGGAATTGTTGATAAAAGGAGACAAGTCAAGGAAATGCAGGGCAAGGAAGCGCTCACGAGGGACGTGGTTAAGGAGAGTATCATCCGTGGAAGAGGGTGGACACTTGCGTCAGCCTGGTTCCAACCATCCTCCACACTGCTTTGGAATGCCAGTTTCCTCTGGAAACCTTCCTTAACCTGGCTCTGGTGTCCCTACAACATGTCGCGGAGCTCACTCTACTGTTTGAGTTAGAGTAATTAAAACACTGTGTGACTACTTACTTGTTTCAAGTAGTGGGGAACTCTTGTGGGCTAAATCTGGCCAACTGACTGTTTTTATAAATAACGTTTTACTGGCACACAGCTGTACCCATTGATGTATATATTGTATTTAGTTTCTCTTGTGCAATAATGGCAGAACTGAATCTTTGAAACACAGCCTAGAAAGCCCAGAGTATTGACTATTTGATTCTTCACAGGAGAAGAATGTTCTAGCATAACATTTCTACAAGGGCAGAACAATGTCTGCATTGGCCACCCTTGTGTCTCTAAGCATGTCACCTTGCTTTCTGCCTCCATGAAGCTAAGTCGGTAGAGCGCTATGAACATGTGGAGTGAATGGAAATGAACTGACAACCTTTATCTGGAGTTGTCAGAAACTTAGAACGATGGGGCTGGGAAGAAGGCTCAGGGGTTAAGAGCACGTGTTGCTCTTACAGAGGACCTGGGTTCAGTTCCCAGCACCCACATGGTGACTCACAACTCTCTGTAACTCCAGTTTAGGGGATCCCATGCCTGCTGACCTCTGTAGCAGGCACACATGTGGTAAGCATACACACATGCAGGCAAAACATTCATATACACAAAATAAAAATAAATACATCTAAAACTATTTTTAAAGAAGAGAATGAACTCTAACGAGAGAAATCAACAAGATGGGTATACCGTAGCAGAGAAAGTGCTGCCATAAGAATTTCATACCCATGTTTGTAAGTCTGGGGGACAGCTGTAGTGAGGAGAACCAGGCAGCTGGTATCCCATGGTTGCTTCTGTACATAACCAGCTGCATAGTTTCACTTCAAGGAGCATCTGCTTTCTTTCTAGAAGATGGGACTCACCTGTCCCTTCACAGAGGCCTCTCAGAGACCAGAGTACTGTGACAGTGACTTCTGGTTCCTCCCACTTTCTTCCTATGTCTTCTAGGACAGGTATTTCCTTTCTCTTACATGTAGACTAAAGCCAGTCCCTGGTGAGATATTGTTAAGTGGCTCTCATCATTCCTGCTTTCAATGGTTCTGACCCAGGTCAAAGTCAACACTCACCTCAAATGGTCAGTGCCTGTTGCTGAAGGCACAGCCCTTCATCTGCTACAGAGAGAGCTACCTTTCAATTCTCCTCATGCACAAATACACCCATCTCAACACAGAATCCAATGAAGTTCAGAATCCCCAACAGTTAAAAGGGATGGTGTGGGAAGGGACACATCTTGAGATTGGTAAGTTTCTACCTAAGTCTCAGTCCCAGTCTGACCCAAGTATGACTTGGGCAGCTCCTTTCCTATCCCCGAGTCTGTCCCATGTGACTTGGGCTGCTCCTTTCACACCCATGAGCCCATTTATTTTAAACTACTGACTCTTTTCTGCCAGCTCACAGAGTTGTTGGGAGGAATAGGAAAGATGATGTCAGCCCCAGTGGGTGGAAAATTAGATGATAAAGTGCTATGTAACTGTGAGTGTCTGATAGTGTGGCCAATTTCCCCCCTCTGTCAGGATCAGTCTGTTCTTCCTCTCACTCATGAGTATGACTCCAGAGGAAATTGTCAAGCAAATTAAGGGACTGTGATAAAGGGTTAAAAAACATGTCGTTTGGTGACACATAGCTCTCATTTTGCCTTTCTATTCCCTAACAGTGTATCCTGAGAAGGTTACCTGATTAGCCCTGGTGTCTCCCCTATTCAATAATGGACTATGATATGTACTTCATAGGGCTTTAGTGGAGAATTAGAGGAAATCCTACAAACAAATTTCCTGACATATATCAAGCCCTTAATGCATGGCTATTGTTCTTAAGTTCATCTCAAGGCCTTGTCACCGAGAAGAAGGTGCTTTCGCTGTGT